GAGACGAAAACCGTGCTTCCTCCCCTTCTACGTGATTCTGCCAACCTCGTAACTAGGAGCTGGACAAATAGAGAACAATGCTCTTTGGCCGAGATGCCAATTGGAGAGGCTATAGTCACTGCTCAACTTCATAGACACCGATCCATTTTGTACATGATGGTGGTAGGGGACAAGGTATTTTTCCATACTAGTGCATTGTGGTTGTGTTGGCACCTTATGCCACGTTTATGACTTATCTTCTTGATGTTTGACTAGATTAAAGTCGAGCTAGAGAACATGCTGGAGGCTAAAGATCAGGTCATGGCCCTTTAAGAGAGTAGAGACAGAGTAGGCGAGGTATGCTGCTAAGGAGAAGAAATATGAGAACAAGCTCAATAAGATGGGCGAGGAGCTTGAGAAAATTGAGGCATTACAAATTTGGGAAAGAAGGCCAATGAGAGGGCTGAATTTGAGAAACAGAGGGCGGTGGGAGAGCATGCTTAGGCTAGAGAGGCCGTCCATAAAGTTAAGAGGCCAATGGTAAGGCTAAGGAGACTATGCAGAGGGCGGATGAAGCTGAGGCTAAAGCTATTAAAACTGTGGAGACTTGGAAGGAGTCTCCTGAATTTGACGTCTTAGCTTAGGACGCCTATGTCGTGGCCCTAGAGGAGCTTGTCAAGCATATTCACAGGGAACGTCTTGACTTTGATGCAGCTTTCCTTGAGGAGGCCCTTGAAGAGCAGAAAAAAGGAATTACAGAGGCTATCCGAGGCTGCAGGAGTTCAGTTGTCCCTACTGAAGAAGATGCTGAGCCTAACTCCTTGGTTCCCCAGGACCCCTCGGCCCTGTAGGATACCCTACCCCCATTTTTAAGCTTATGTACTCAGTATTTTGCCTTTGGTGGATAGCGTTTTCCCGAACTTGTCTCAAGCATTTGTTTGGCAATGATTTTGCATGACAATTTGTAGTTTTTGGTTAATGTGAGTAAACTTTATCTTTTCTTGAGATGACTTTGTTGACTGCTTTGACTGATGTTTGATTAAATTGCCTCATTTTGAATGGTTTTGGATAGTTCTACTAACTTTATAATGAACTCATCTTTTTCCATTGTGGTCGTGACGTAGTAGTACGGGTGTCATAGCACTTACGGCCTTAGCTCGGCTTGCGTATGGAGCAGAGCTTTGAATAATTCCTTAGGAGGAATTTCGTCCAAGTGTCGCAGCACTTGCGACCCTAGTTCGGCCCGCGTATGGAGTAGATCTTTGAATAATTGCCTAAGAGAAATTTCGACCAAGTGTCGCAGCACTTACGACCTTAGCTCGGCCTGCGTATGGAGTAGGGCTTTGAATAATTCCTTACGAGGAATTTTGTCTAAGTGTCGTAGCACTTGCGACTTAGCTCAGCCTGCATATGGACCAGGGCTTTGAATAATTCCTTAGGAGAAATTTCATCTAAGTGTCACAGCACTTGCGACCTTAGCTCGACTAACGTATGGAGAAGGGCTTTGAATAATTCGTGAGGATGAAATTCGTCTACCATTAGCCAAGTCGTATGCATGATATTATAAAAGTAACTAACTCCTTTTTATTAATACAGTCGATACCATGGAAGGGTTTATACATTACAAAGGACTTTTCCTACTCGTTGGTTGTATTGCCTTAGGTGTTCAGCATTCCAGGGGTGGGGTAGAGGCCTTCCGCTCAAGTCTTCCAGCTCATATGCTCCCTTCGGTGGTATTTTCGTTACCATGTAAGGTCCTTCCCAATTGGGACCTAACAATCTAGATCCGACCTCCCTTGTGGCTAGGAATATTCTCCATAGGACTAGAAATCCTACTTCGAACTCCCATTTTCGTACTTTTTTATTGTAGCACTTAGCATTTCATTGTTTGTAGACTGCATCCTTGAGTTTTGTGTCATTTCTTTTTTTCTTTTACTAGGTCTAGTTCTCCCCAAAGGGCCATTTGATTCTCCTCCTCACCATAGGCAGTTGTGCGGAACGATGTGATGCCGATCTCTAGGGGAATTACAGCGTCTACACTGAAAGCCAGTGAGAACAGGGTTTCACCAATGCTGGCCCTTACGATGGTGCGGTATGACCATAGCACACTGGAGAATACTTTAGCCTGTCCTCCTTTGAGCGTATCAAGTTTTGCCTTCAACGTATGTTTGAAGATCTTTTTGATGGCCTCAACTTGGCCGTTGGCTTGCGGGTGGTTAATTGTGGAGAAGTGTTTCCAGATACCAAAATCCTCACAAATAATTTGCTCACAACCAATGTATAAGGGTTGACACCTTGTATTGACAGGTTGTGGTTTGATCGAGTCACTATTTAGGTTTGTGATTTATCCTTATCACAAAAATGGTTAAATGTGACACTAGTACACTTGGAATGTATTAAACGGACCGCGTGTCGAATTTAATTCTATAGCATGACCGTGCGGAGAATTAAATTCCACTAGATCGCTGTGTATTTCATCTAAATCCGTTGACATGATTATGTATATCTTTTCGTGATTTTAATGGTTCTTTGATTCATCAATGCGGGAGATCAATTTGATTGTTCAAATATCTCGATGAGTTGGGAACTTGAGGATAAGTGGAGTAGAGAACATAAATTCTTGTCGAGAACCGCCGCCTTGAAAAATGGGTAGAGTGACTACTTACGTATTTTTTGTTGAACGGTAAAATTTGAGCTCAGTGTTTAGCGATGGCTAAACTTCGACATCTGTGATTAGTTCACAAGACCGTTGAAGAAAATGAAACTTAAGTTAGTGAGAATAATTAGAACGACAAAATAGTCATTTATGCTCGTACCTAATTATTGGATCTCGGACGGGATAAAATATATATACTGTAGGTTAGAGAAAAGTATTACAGATTTGTTAACTTCTGTGATCTTATATATTCTGAAAATTCAGTCTTTTGCCTTTAGTGGAAAAGGCAAAGATAATAATTAGATTAGATAATCTAGAGTCGACTAAACATGATTTAATTATTGGAGTTTGGATAATATATGTCTAATCAGGTCCCTGTGGCAGCTCCATAAAGTATTGAAACTTAATTACGGTAATTATAATAGTTTTGAGCTTAATTGTAATTACAATAAAGTTTTGTACTTAGTTGTAATTACTACGAAAGTTGTAAACTTATTATACTTGTAATTGAAGTTGTAGGACTACACATGTAATAAAATGCAAACTAATTGGATTTGGATTTTAATTTTAACTAGAACTCATATTTGAACGTAAAATTATTATTGTATAAGGATTGAAACTTTTATATCTTTATAAATAGAGATTAAATGGATCCTAGACATCCTATGAAATGGAATTATACAACATTCATAATATATAGTTCCAAGGTACTCAAATTTTGGAGAGAGAAAAAGAGAGAACAAATTATTTATCTTAAATATTCAATTGTCGAATTCCAGAATTAGTTTCTCGATTTAATTAAAAGAAGGTGTCCACCCACCGATATAATCTTGATTTTGGAGAATACCATAGAAGAGTTGGAAGTTTGAAGTATCAAGTTATTGGCATTAAAAGGACGAAAGTTTATGATCCAAAAAGTTGGAAGTTTGTGATTCAGAATTAATTCAAGAATTTATTATTGAATTTAGGTAAATTTCGAATACTTTATTTTTGATATAACATACACGTAAACATCTAAACGATCTTGTTTTTGAATTAAAGAAATTTTTAATTTTGGATAATTCCGCTTTCGCATTCCAATTAAAGGTACTCAAACTTTAAAGAAAAATGGCATACATGCATTTTCGTCACATTAAACCACTATCAGCATGTCATTAAGTAAGAAAACAACCTACTTACGTTCTGATACCAATGGAACCAAGCTTTAGATTTTAGAACTTAATTGAAATCACAAGAAATGAGAGGTAAAATCACTTGCATTTGGTTGCTTGCTTATTGCTCTCTATCCAACGCTTCTCTTTTGGTCAAAAACTTGATCACAATGAAAAGAGTTCGATATCCACAATTCAATAACCAACTTTGAGATGTTAATTTGGTAAAATCAAATCACCACACCCGTGTATTCTTACTCCACTCTCTTTACTCGAATTTTTCCTATTTCTTCACGGTTTAGGAGTTGTGGGAGTTATATGAAAGTCATGGGCGGTGCAAAGGTTAAATTTCAAATTTAAATCTCAACTCCTCCATCCAAACTCCACATGGGCGACCATTTATACCATCACTAGTAATTGACAATTAGTTAAAAAAATAGCAGCCAGGAAGATCCGTCATTGACATTGCGAATTCATAACTAGAGAACTAGTTTCTATTCATACTAATCTAGCTGCGGAAGAATGTAAAGACAATTGATACATGTTCAATATCTTCCCATTAATTTTAGCACGTTCACGATGAAATAATTTAAATTTCCCTTGAATAGAATCTTGTTTCCCTGCTGACATGGGCAGACTATGGTTTGATACGAAGTATTGTAATCAAGCTCGAAATAGTCGATCATCAAGTCTAAGTCGCCAAAAGATAGAAGTGGTTGGTTAATTCAAACATTTCAGTCAACAAAAATGAAAATCTACGAACAAAAATGTAAAACCCACGGCGTAAAGCCTGTCCTGATCAATGTGGTGCTGGAAACACTTTGGTGGTGGTGCTGCAGATTCAGAGTTTCAGACAGCATAGGTTGAATAGGAATTTCTCAGAGAATTCCATATGCTAAAAGTTCAAAAGTGACTTTACTTTTAAGACGAATAATAAGTTTAAGATGGAGAAATATGACAATGGTAAGTATTTAGTACAAATATTGACTATCCACAGTATCGATACGTTGCACTATCTTTGTATCTTATGCACCGTAATGAAAGTTCACTTACCTTGCTGCATCAAAAATTAACACGAGGATCTAAAAAATTCTGAAAGACACTTCTCATTTTAAAATACAAGGAAAGAAATTATTAGTAATGAAAACGACCAAAAAAACCAGCTGTCAGTCTAGTAAATGTATCAGAACTTGTGACTTGGTGAAAGAATCTTGTGCTCACAAAGCTTATTTGGAATTAGATGTAAATAGTGAATATAAAGAAACAATAACTTAAATGCAACCTGAAAATCTAATTCAGCTCAGAGGATAACCAACTAATTAAACAAATTGGCACCTTTACCTTTAAAGTACAAGATAAAGAGAACTTGTCAACCTAACCTACCATTGATGACAATCGAAACATTTTGAAAAGCAACAAAGATAGATATGAAAGTACACAGCACATTCCAAACCTCTTGTATGGATTAACTGGCAGACGTGCACGTATTAATACCATCCTTGCAATCTTTAGTAATATCATTAAAAGTTTCAATCTGCCTTTTTCCCCTCAAGAACACTTCTGTATCAACAGAGGTCCTCATGTAACCATCGAATTCAACTGAATTTCCATTACCGAGCTTCGTCATCTCTGAATACCAGTCGCTGCTCTGATCCCAAAGATCTTTATATTCTTCAAGAAAATGAGTGGAGTATTTATCCTTTAACAGGTCAAAGAAGGCTGTGTCTGGCTCATTTGTTGCAACATAAAGGTTCCTCCCATCTTCAATTTTGTCTTGCAAAGTCGCCAGAAGAGCTTCTGGTGAAGTATCTCTATCAAGATTAGGCCATAGCTCCTTGTTCCTCGCCTTCTCCCCTCTCTCGATATGAACTGCGTCAAAATCCCAATTCATTCTTGACGCAACTGCAGAAGCCACATCTAACAACCGTCTGGATTTCCATATCATGTGCCATGGCCGTTGAATAACAGATTCTGTCTCGCCTTCGCACACTCTGTACCAATAATTATCAGGCTCCACAGAGCCAAACTTCCTCATGATCAGAGTATCCTTTACCCCAGCTAGCTTCATTGGCGTGACCCTGAAATCCTCCACGAGATGGAGACGTAATCCATTTTTTTGTTGCCACTGGCTCCAGTCGGACCAGAACTGAGTCTGGTCCAGCACTGAAGCTGAATCCTTCAAGTGCTCAAAGTCAAAGTAAAACCTGAAATCTTTACCTTCCTCATCAGTACCAGATGAAGTGTAGATCTTAGACAAACAGATATTCATATCCATAACCAAAGTCCGGTTCAAATACTGTGCTTCACCCAACATACACATGAAACTCCACAAATACTGATGCATGCTCTTGCACCTATCCCCACCACCAGAATAAATCAAATATTTTCCACCATTAAAACTCCCCTCCGATTCCACCATGGGAAGTGTGTCATTTACAGTCTCTCCAACCTCTGGCAGTAGAATAGGATTTTCCTCCATCTTCACCGGCAACTTCTCAAATCCTTCCTTGTCCTTGTCCTTCCCCTTTCTCTTTCTCTTCCTGGCATTCCCACCTGAATGATAATCCCCAATTCTGACGACGCTAAGTGTACAATATTAAAACTCCCCTCCGATTCCACCATGGGAAGTGTGTCATTTACAGTCTCTCCAACCTCTGGCAGTAGAATAGGATTTTCCTCCATCTTCACCGGCAACTTCTCAAATCCTTCCTTGTCCTTCCCCTTTCTCTTTCTCTTCCTGGCATTCCCACCTGAATGATAATCCCCAATTCTGACGACGCTAAGTGTACAATTTTCTGATCTCACTATTGAAAAACTCCTATAATCTTTATAAAATGCAGCAGCCTTCCCCTCATTCGGCCTAAACCTCCAAGCCATGTGACAAGAACTATCGTTGTTCCCACTAACCGGCTTCCCAAATCGGTAAAAATGCATGTCCTTAAACTTCTCAATAGCAGCCCTCATTAACAAATGGAACACTTCAGGATCACGGCAGTTAATGGGTTCGTTAACTTTCCCACTACAATCTTGGGTCTCAGAAACAGTTGACTCCTCAGTTTCGGTTCCCACGACAGCATTATCCACATCAGTGATGTTAATAAAGGTAGCAAAGGCAGTCTGATTCATCGCCACGAAATCCTCACCAGTCTTGACTACAGAGTCGACAGATTTAAAGGTGGCCTTGGTGTTTGATGTGAGGAATGTCGTGATTTTCGTTGAAGGGTGAAACAAAGGGTCTTCGGGCTCATAAGTCGCAGCAATTATAGTGAAAATCAAAACCCCAACGACAAAGAATGTGAAACAGAGATTCCCTATCATTGCTAGTGCCTTCTGACCCAGATGTTCAGGTCGAAAACTTCCATTCCGAGATAGAAAAATCGAAGATCGACCCAACATTTTTCTAACCTTATAATCCCTATAACTGACAAGATATACTAAAATTTCCAGCAAAGAAAATAACACCTAAAAAAAAATAAAAATCACTATAATGGGCTTCACAATGGAAGTTCCAGTGCTAAAGATGATTAAATTGTGTACAGAAACTGACAGAAATCAAGAAACAACAATTGGGTTTTACAGATCTGGTGTAGATTAAGCGAAGCTAAGCCATGAACACAAAGATTTGCTGTATATATTGATTTGTGTGTCTTACCTCAACGCGTTGAGGGGTTCAGAATCAAACGTGAATTCAATACTAAAATTTCCAGCAAAGAAAATAACACCTAAAAAAAAATAAAAAATCACTATAATGGGCTTCACAATGGAAGTTCCAGTGCTAAAGATGATTAAATTGTGTACAGAAACTGACAGAAATCAAGAAACAACAATTGGGTTTTACAGATCTGGTGTAGATTAAGCGAAGCTAAACCATGAACACAAAGATTTGCTGTATATATTGATTTGTGTGTCTTACCTCAACGCGTTGAGGGGTTCAGAATCAAACGTGAATTCACCACCATTGTTTTCTGCAAATTATTTCTCAATACGGACTACGGAGTGGACTATGAGCTTGGATTCTTACCTCGGACTTGAACAGGGGGGTGACTGCGAACTACAAGGGTCATCGCTAAAATGAGCCGGGGATGTTAGCCCACGGCTTTTGTTAGGATGCGTTTAGCTGATGATTTTTGGGCCATGAATAACCTTTGTAATTATCATTAATGTTAAGTGTCAACAATAGAAAAATAAATGCAAGTGTCTCAATAATTTATTGTTCGTTAGCTAATGAACAAGTAAATTACTAAATTGTACCCATATTTTGCCTACTTATAACGAAATAAAATAATAAATTGTGATGAAAAATCATAGATTTTTGTCCAACTGATTTTGCACAATTGCCTGAATCAAATAGTAGTTTATTGTCTAAAACAAATGTTGGAAATTTACTTAATCATGCACAACGAAAAATAAAATAAATTTCAATTTACATCAAGGATTTCTTTTGTGTTTAGATAGAAATTGTACATTTCTTGGATTTTGCAAATTCCTTTGCTATTCTCTTGTTCCAACAATCTTGATCTGTCACCCATAATTATCCAATTGTCCAGTTTCTAATGAAAATTCACACAGGGAACAAGATCGAGATAATGCTGGCGTTTTAACTTTCTTGTGCTAGCAAGAATAAATAAAATCTCTACAGTTTTCAAACTCTAGCTGCTTATTTATATAAACCCAAACGGGCTTAGCCCGTTTCTTAATCAGGTACAATATTTGATTAACCTATTTAATTAAATATGATCCATGAATTAATTAATTCAGTTAATCAATTCGGGTCTCTTAATGAGCAACTTAATTAATTAATTTATTCAATGCTTGTTAATTAATTAATTGATAAATTTCATTCTTTTAGTTCTCATTTTGTGTGTGACTCATTAGGTTTTCAATTATGATGTCTAACGACGTGAATTATTATTTTGATATAATCAAATCGATAAATTAAAATACGCCTTTGTAATTTATCACTAATTCACATTCACCATCCCAAATTGACATCTATCAATGTTTCAGGGCAATACATGTGACAAAAATGTCACATGATATGACAATATCAAACTTGTTCGTTTACCGTGAAACTATAATCATTTCGTTAATATGATTCAATCAATTATGAGATATGGATAAATGTCAATCTCAATCATCTATCATATCTCTCATTCCACTATTAAGTCGATACAAGTCGAAAACTCATTTTTGACTTATGAGTACACATTGGCCAAAGATTTCGTTATTAACATAACTAAATGAAATGTAGATCATAATCTCTTACTATCTAAGAAGGACGAATCCTCTACTGATCATTCACAACCTTCATATAATTCTAGACATACCTGAATGATGTCGTATTAGCGGCACTTCATGGAGCAACATCCAACATAACCCAAGTATGATTTTCCTCATAGAAGGCACTATGATGACCTTAAGCCAAATGACCAATTTCAATAACGAACGTTAGAGATTAACCACTAATTTAATTCACCACAAGTGTACGGTTTGTTTACAAGTAATAAAGTGGAATATTAAGTTCTGAATATCATCCCACAGAGATCGAGTAGTTCAACTTTATCTACCTTAACCTTAACCGAAACGAATTTATCAAATTTGACATTTTAACCTAAGAATACCCTAATTTAGAAAACCCTAATTATGGAAAAGCCTAATTTGACTAGAATGATTGTTGAATGAATTGAAAATGCAAAACGATGTATCTAAATGAATTTAAATGCAATGTGATGATTGTAACGCAAGTGACTTTATTCAATAAGAATCAAACGCATTAGGATCACGAATTCCTATATAATGATCACTTAAAAACCTTAATTTCACAATCTGACAACACGATTGGATTATTGGAGAATCAATGCTCCTAAATCTATCTAACACACACACACACACACACACACACTCTCGAGCAATATCGAACCTATTTTTATATACCACCAGCCTATATCTCTATGACGGATGCATATACATAAGAATGCATGTAATTTTTTGAGCAATTAACGATTCACGCAAAGTATAGAGGCATATTTATATCCCCTATCGGACACTACGATGATTTATACGTTATCAAAACTATTTTCATTCTCTCGAATGAAAGAAATAAATCACTATGTATCACATAATTACGTGTCCTTAATTATGGAATAAATTAATGCATATAAACCATTCAAATAATCTAATACGCGTTTAAATTGTCAAATTGCAAAAATTAAAATCCAAATATCACATTACATAGTTCATCGATCTCCTAGTACAAGAAAATCTAGCCTAACATGAAGAACATAAAAGAATACATGAATTTTTGAAGATAAAACATCACGGATTATAGATACGCGTGAAATCTTAATAATCTTCGTGAAATCTTTCATTAATCTCCCTCAAATCCATCTCCAAGATGTGTTTTCTTCTTTTCTAATGCGTTCTAACCCTAAATTTGATGAGTCTAGGCTTTTATATCACGTCAAGATCGAGTTCCAAAAGAGTTCTAGCGTAAACAGGAAACTGCTGAAACGGGTCACATTTTTACACCATGCGATCGCATGGTTGAACCAAAAATGTGGTAGGAATTCCCTATTGGGGTTCGTGTGGCCGCATGGTAATAACACCATGCAACCGCTTGGTTAACGAGATTTCCATGTTGTGCCGTTTTAGTTCCCAAACTCAATCTTTTTGTTTATTGGCCTTCTTTCTTCGTCCATCTTGTTCCATCATCTCGCATTAATTTCCAATTGATACTTAGCTCGTTCAATTACTCGATTAGCCTTTTAGTTCAACTTTTTGTGTATTTGCACTTTGGTCCATGACCTTTCACTTTGCTTCGTTTTGGTCTTTTTCTCTCTTTTTTCTGGTGAATTTCATCATATCCATCCATATAACCTACAATACAAGAGCTAAACGAATTTAAGCCACAATTCCAACACTTTTCCTATAATTAAGTCATATTTGTGAGTTAAATAATTGTGTAAAAACACACTTATCAACACTCAAATAGTTATCCATGTAGAATCTCCCAGTAGGTCTCCAATATTTTGTTCTATAACAAAACATCCACGTGTTCATTTAACTGTCACCACACTTTAGTTTGTGAGATCAGCCACTTATTTCAAAAGTAAAAAATACTCTATGTGATGGTCTATCCATAATAACGATATACGTATCTTGTTATTGCTTAAGACCACAGATGATTTGAGATTCAATTATATGTAATATGTGTATCACAATCACAATTTCTTGTGATTAACAAACTACTAAGATTTGAATCTACGGACTCTAGTAATTAATTTAATTGAATATTAATTAAATAAAAGATCTGCCATAAAATTTCACCAACTATATATTAAAAGTACTTATGTCCAAAGTTGATTGGATCTAAGGTATAACACTTACAACAAATGCAATATCAAAACACGAACGTGGGATGAGAACATAGACATGGAAGAGGTTATTGATGAAATAATCAACAAAACAATTAGTAACAAGACAATAATTTTTAGAAGCGAAAGCAAATGTGACTCATTTAGATTTCTCTAATTTATTTGCGATCCAAAACATAATATTAATTATTTGATTCGAGCGATGTGATTGACAATATAGAATAATTTATTTTCAATGTATAGTATTTTCTTTTTATTTAGAAGTTGTAAAATTTTATTCTTATTTTCCTTCAAGTTGTAAAAGTTCTATACTTTCGTATGATCAATTGGACTCCCAGAAGCAATAACGATGTGCCTAATAATTAGCAATTAACATTGATATCTTCTAAAGAATCAGAAGATTCTTTTAGTTGATGATTACCCATGGACTAAATTGGGTTCCTATTGAAGACTTGAAATTTATATTGATTTTAATTAACCATCCATTATTAGGTTTTCTAAATAAACCTTTAAGACGTGATTTATTTATTGTTATTTTGATAGGCTGACTTATCAAACTTAGGGACGAACGAAATTGTGTCTTGAAAAAAATACAAAACTTGAATCGCAGCTTAAAGATTATCTCACAGACATGGGATCGATTATGAGGAATTGTGTTCTCCCATAGTGGATACCGTCACTTTTAAATTTTTAGCTAGTTTGATTGTGTCGCACAAGTTTGATATGATTCGTATGGATGTAGTAGCTGCTTATTTATATGTTTCAATTGAAAGTGACATATACATGAAATTTCTCATAAAGCTTAAGTGCCGAAATAAGTGAAACATGACTCAAAAACTATGTTCTCAATTCATCGTGGGGAATTCTTGTGGTTTATCACTCGTCTTATGTCGGACAACTGCTGTCGTTCGCCCATAACTAAAATGATATCATTATCCTCCTATTTTTTTTTTGTTTTTTCTGCGACCCCTCTACGAATAACAAGAAAACTTAAATATCTAGATGAGCGGATAGGGCAAGCACGTACTACCAGAAGAGTAGACCTTAGAGCGATAGATTCCCACAAAACCATCCATTCTGGTTCTATATTTGTTCGAATAAAATGCTTAGCCAATTCCCTCCTTGGCCGCAGGGTAAACCACCGCCTCTCAAGCCCCCCGACTGATTCTACCACAAAGGAAAAGTGATATTTCACTTCGTAGAATCAGGCACTGACCCCGCTCGCTAACCGGTTACCGTCTCTTACCCTTCAATTGGCGGGCCCACTTGCGCTTCCCTCTTAGGTCGAAAGCAAGCTACTGCTTTCTTCTCG